TTGAGGTGACATCACAATGAATTATGGCTTGGTTCTGTTTTCCTAGAAGGCTTGGGGCTGGGTAACCTTTGAAGCCCAGACTTTGTGAGTTAGAAAATGTAGTGACTGTATTTTAACGTCTTTCTGGCGTCAAAAAGTTACCAAGAAATGAAAGTAGGAAGGTTATATAGGGAGAAAGGATGAAAACAAAAATTGTAGTTTCTCAAAACCTGGTTCCATCGTTTTTATTTAGAAGTATTAAGATGTAATTAAGATTGAAGACGGGCTTAAAGGTTAATAAGAAGATTACAGTAGTGCCTGAAATTTTTCACTTTGCGAAAAAGTGCTACGAACAACATTTAAATAAGAACCTCTTGGTGATTTTTTAAGCCATCAAGGGGACTGATGGGATTACACTACCAATCAGGTGTCAAAGAGCAATAGAAAGATTCTCTCACACAAATCCTTAATCCTCATTGAAAAGGTTTCAGTGGAAGAAAAACCAAGCAGTAAGGACAATATGGTGGATATCATAAAAACAGATATCTGGAACCGGAAGTATCTATTCCATCTAAAAAAAAAAAAAGTCCCCCCTTTAATACGTATCAGCCTATTTACCGCTTAACACCCTCACCATCTTAGACCAATGACCATGTTAGCTGAGGCTGATGGGTGAAGATCAACCGTATCCACCAAGACCTGCTTGTAGTACTACTGATATTAATTTCTATGCTTTGGCACTTAAAAAAAAAAAAGAACAACTTTTGGATTTCCAGTGTATAATATTTAGTGGCTCACTTTTTTGTTCTTCTAACTATCTTGTTTGTTTCTGAGTCTCAATTATTTAAAGCAGATGTTCTGAAACAGAAGGAGAGTGCACAGCGTAGCTGCTGCAGAAGTGTAACACAAAAGAGAGACACCATCTCTGTCACTGGTGGGGTGGGAAAAATCCCCTTCTGAAGGCCTCTGTCCTTTTAATATGAGTTAGCTTACCCCAAAAAATCAAAAGAGGTCTGGGATTTGTCTTCCTAATTGCCTCTCCCTTTTCCCCAAATCTCAAACAGTGTCCCCACCAAAGATTTTTTTTCCCAGCAGCGTCCTCAGTTGGACCCAGAGACCTCATGTCTATATCATACCCAAATATTGGGTCAGGAGGCCTGAGATGCAACATAAGAAATATTATCGCTTGATTACACTGCAGAGGGGCAAGATATTATTATTACCCCTCTATCTGGATAGGAAACCAAACATACACTGTCCGAAAAGAGAATGAAAGCCACTATTATTTGCATATTGAGCAACATCACTATTTTCTCAAAAACACTGTTAGCTGCAGAGGTATGCTATTCTTTTTCTTAAGTGTCCCTTTAAGAAGGCATTTGGACAGATATATTTAATATATTGGTTCTCGGCTGAATTTTCTTTTGGTGATTGTTGGAATGAGTGCATTCCATCAACACTGCCATGTTAAAAGATATTTAAGTTTTCCAGTTTGGGGAAATGGTTGCCTACACACAAACGTGGGGTCTGTAAGAGGACACCCATTTTTAGGACATAAAAACAGAATGACGTATTCTTATAATTCTTGGACACTTAGCCTCCTGAACACTCACTGCAAGAATCTTCCATATACATGTTCCTCCAACTCCATTATTTATAAGTGGTTTTTAAGCTGCAAAGTTTGAACTGTTTCAGCCCTGTAACCTAACACTTTTTTGAAAGCCCATGTATGTTTTTGAGTGTCTCACAGGACCGGAGGTCAAGATTACCTCACTGGACAGGGGAAAAAAGCAGAACGCTGTAGTCTAATCAGATACTCTCTGGTTGAAGAAGTTTGGGGTGGAGTGTGCTGATCTTAAATTAAATAAGGATAAACACAGAGTGTCCTTGTGCCAAGGATCTCCACAAGGAGGCCGCTGCTTCATATATCACTGGGGCTTTTTGTAAAAAATTCCTGTAGGATGTTCGATTTAAATCTGACAGCCGTACACTATTGCACAAACAGAAGAATAAAACAGATATTTGTGTCCAGAAAGCAATTTCAGTCACAAAAAAGAAGTCTGGTTGCTTTTTTCTTGAACCCAAGAACTATTCCGAGTCCATGCACTCCTTAAACTTTTATCAGTCCTTCACATCAGCCAAATCAGATTTCAAAAACGCTGAAGCTGGAGTGCCCCCCCCCCACTGCCACAAGCCTGTGACTCTGGGTCACGCCAGATCTCAACTGGACTCCAATCAATTCGATGGATTCTGACAATACTAATAAAAGGCGACACACAAGTTGGAAGGAAGAACACGGATCCATGTCATGGAAAACTCATACTGAAGTCGGGCTGGAGGGAGATTTCCCATGAAAAATTGGACCTCTGTGTAAACAGGCACGTTTGCCTCTTGGCATGAGCTAATTAGAAATAAACACAGATTAAAATAAGATGTGGGTGATGGGGATATCAGGAATCTTTGGGGGGGGGCTTGGGGTGGTTAGCTTGGTTGGTTTTTTTCCGTTTGCCTTTCCCTAAAATGCACAGATTGTCCTGTAACCAGAAGTAAACAGGGATGTTCCCGACAGAGTGCTGAGGTCACTAGAACACATGGCAAGCAGTCCTTGACTTACAACCACGAGACCAAAGCCTCTGTTGCTAAGCAAAACAGTCGTTAAGTGAGTTTTGCCCCATTTTACGACTTCTCTCCCCATGGTTAACTGAGCCACTGTAGTTGTTAAGTTGCTAACACGGTCATTAAGTGAACCTGGCTTCCCCATTGACTTTGCTTGTCAGAAGGTCGCAAAAGGAGATCACATGACTTCCCCCCGGGACATGGCAACCGTCGTAAATATGAGTCAGTTGCCAAAAGTCTGAATTTTGATCACGTGACCACGGGGAGTTTGCAACAGTCGTAAGTGTGAAAAACAATCCTAAGTCACTTTTTTCAGTCGTAATGATGAATGGTCACTAAATGAACTGTTGTAAGTGGAGACTACCTGTAGTTCACAAACCAACTTCCAGCAATCTACGCACAGCAATTCTACGCACTGGGGAGAGAAGCAGCCCGTCCAGCTCTTGCTGGGCAGGCAGCACCACAGAGCGAGCGAGACCAGCTGGGCCTTTCTCCTGGGCCACCTTTGCTGGAACCAGCCAAGAGTCCAACAGAGAGAGGACACGGCCATTAGGCTTGGTGCCACTTATTGCATTTATTCAAGGGTAGCCACCCATCTCAAACAAAATCAATGAAAACCAATTAGAAACCCAGTATAGATAAGCGCTCGACGTACCACCATAGTCCGTTACGATCGTAGGTCATCAGCTGGGTCAGTCCCAGGACCAATATGATTTGACAGCCTTAAACTAAAGCTGTTGGTTGCTTGTTACGTTGCGGTTTTGCCAAAAGCCGGAAGTAGGCAATGAGCAAAATGGAGGCATTTCTGAAAATCCCTCCACATGTCTCAACCTCGGCAACTTGAAGAAGAGTGGATTTAGACTCCCAGAATTCCCCATCCAGCACGCTGGTTGGGGAATTCTGGGGGCTGAAGTCCGCCCTTCCTCAAGTTGCCGAGGTTGAGAAACACTTTTCCTTTTAGAGGAAAAGAGCTGGAAGAGGAAAAAGAATGGGAAATCAGAAGAGGGAGAAAAGCAGGCAATGAGAACAAAATCTCTGAGAATCTACTATTGCCAAAATCAAGCCCCTCCCGTCATTCCGTGGACTCTCATCATCTACATTAGTTCAAACAGAAAGTTTAATTATTTCTACATTTTGGTCTTCCTATTAAACAGGGACCGAAACACGAAACCTCAGGCTAATAGAACCCATGTGGAGAGAACAAGAGTTCCTCTGTCACTGCCCTCGTCTAGCGTGCCAGAAAAACAAGACATCAATCCAATAGAGTCACCCAGACACAACATTCAAGGAGGCAAAGGCAGAAGAAAGAGCCACTGGTGATAGATTGTGGAGTTCAGGGACTCTTGGGAAGGCTGACGTTGGGGGCAGATGCAGGAAGAAAGCCAGTTTGGTCCTGTGGTTAAGACACCAGGCTAGGAACCGGAGACTGGGAATTCTAGTCCCCCCTTAGGCATAAAAGCCAGGTGGGTGACTTTGGACCAATCACAGGAGATGGCGACTTCTAGTCCCGCCTGAGGCACGAAAGCGGTCCAGGTGCCTTTGGGCCAATCATCAGGAGACTGTGAGTTCTAGTCCTGCCCTATGCATGAAAGCCAGCTGGGTGACTTTGGGTCAGTCACTCTCTCTCTCAGCCCAACTCACCTCACAGTGTTGTGATTGTGGGGAAAATAGGAGGAAGGTGTTTTGGATATGTCCTTTGCCTTATTTGTAAGAATCATACAGGTATAAATAAATAAACAAACAAACAAACAAACAAACTTAAGATTCTTTAACAAACCTAAAGTACCTCATAACTGATGTACAATCTGTAGACAAGAAGGGAGAAAAGAGACATCCCCAGATAGTCTTTGGAGAAAAAGTGGACTCCTTGCCACCAGATGTTGTTGGCCATCAGGATTGGGGTAGATGTTGCAATGAAACCTAAAGGTCAACTGCTTTTAAAGCAAAGGGGCCTGCCCACCCTGGAAGAGTGGGGTCCCAGCATAAGCAAAGGGTCTCCCAATCCACAATCCGAGCCATATCACCATGTGTATAAGAGAGAAAGTGTCTGCAGTTCCTGGGAGGTCGTGGAAAATGTCTCTTTCTCACAATGCTGAAGTCGAATGCCTGTTATCCACAAACATCTCCAAGTTTGCACATTTCTGTCCATGCCGACAGTGTCGGATAAGGAAAGAGTAATCTAGCCCAGTGACAAGGAAACCAAAACTCCATAAAATTTAAGATAAACACACACGAGGATATTAGATAAGTACGTTTGCCAGAAAATCAGCTTAACTATTAACCCTTCCCAAAATTAAAACAAAAAGTTATATTCTGACCAGTTTTAGGAAATTGCAAGAATCCAATGGTTTGCATTAACCAACGGCAGCAGAACTAAAATGTTAAAAGCAGAGCAGCAGCCCTACCTGGCCGTCTTGCCCAACATGGACTTGGTGGATCTGCAAGTTACCCTGTGAAAGAAAGAAATGGGTTTATTTAGTTGATACAACTGAAGAAGCTTCTTGGATGAGAAGTAAAACGTCTTCAAGGAAAAGCAAGAAAGTCCGGTTGCCTTTTGAAAAAGCACCTTTGGAACAACCATGACATGGAGGACTGAGAACCTCCATAGGCACTCATTTAATGCAAGTGATTTTTCTTTTTTACCCCAAACAAAAGTTCTGCTCCTATAAAGAAAATTATGCTTTTGCAATGTTAATTAGAGCTGTGTTGGTGTATTCAAGACAACTCTCAATTTCTCTCTCTTTTTTTCTCTTTCTATGCCAAGACTTTTAGCAAGGAGAAAAGGGATAGGGTTTCTACTGCCTCTGAATATGAAGGGGCTCCTGGAGATAACATTTGAAACTTGCTAAACAATAAACAGGACAAGCTTTTTACATGCTAGCCATGTATCTTATCTGCAAATGTGGAGACATTCCTGAATTTAAAATTTCTCTCAGCCTAAAATTAGCGGAGCAACAGGGTATTCTTCTGGCCATTCCAGAGTCCAACTTTCTGAATGGGTAAAACATCTGCAAACTTTAATGTTGGTATTTCCACTGTGGATCTTTTCTTTTATCACAGTTCAGACTCAGGCAAACAAAAACTCCATTAAGGAACAATAAAGGTATCCGTTCTTGGAGAAGTTTCTGAATCTAGAAGTATGAAGAATGCAGGGGAAAAAAATCCATTTCACTGTAACTAGTAATATCTCTCCAAAACCCGAGTAAAAAAAAATTAATTTCACCTAAAGAATATTCACACAGAAGATAAAAAGAAAGTTATAAGGGGATCCAATTTTCATACTTGCTATAAACATGAGGCTGTCGACAACTACTTTGGCTCTATCCAAGAGACTATAAATTAGAATTAGTTCCTATCCAGATGTTATCTATCTAAACTGGATAAAAGATGGACCTGATCCTGCTTCCCTTCACATCCAAGGTTACTCCCTCTGAAGTCATAGGGGTGTGCAAACACAGCCGTTTCTTCCTGCAGTTTGCATTCCTTGTGTTCGTCTTTCTTTAACATCAGGAGATTCTCAGTCACTCTGCTTAGTCTGTCCACAACCTCAGGCAGATTTTGAAATTGTGTGGCATGAGGGCTTGTTCTGACATTTCTTATTCTCCTGTTTTATCTTTATAAACAAAACACACACACTCGCTTCCAGACAGAAACTCAGGTAGTCCTCAAGTTACTGACTCAATTTTATGACCGTCTTACCATGGTCGTTAATTGGGCTATAGTAGTCATTCAGCAAGCCACACAGTTGCAAGCGCAAACCTATTTTATCCACTAGGCATCTTTTGACTTTTTTTGCGGCAAAAGAGCAAAAACGATTGCAAAATGTGATCACGTGAATGTGGGGCACTGCAACCGGCTGTAAATGAGGGCTTATTGCCAAGTGCCCAAAATGCAATCACATAACTATGGAGGGTGATGTGGAAATTGTAACTTCAAGGGCAGGTTGTAAGTAATTTTTTTGAGTCCGTCGTAACTTCAGATGGTCATTAAGCTACATCGAGGACTGCCTGTAATATAGCTCAGCAGAAATAATACACTTAAGCAGGAAAACATGCCCCTGCTACCCATTATAAAATGCGCATAGCTCAATAAATCAGCATGGATTTGACACATAGGCCACCATCCTATTTCAATTTAAAATTAGTGAGGAACTACAGGTGCATGTGAACCCCGGTACAGTTTCTTCTCCATAGGTGGCCCAAGAGGCGAACAGGAGGGCACTGCTGTTCCTCACAGCGTTACACATTCCACTTAATGCTTCTTGTCCTTTCCAGCTACATGGAAGACAAAGGACTCTAGATCAAGTTTTCTCCTTCCAGATAGTCTGTTGAAGGCTCACCTCGCTGTCTTGCGTGATCTGGACCTGCTCTCCTTGTGGCACCTGGGCTATGTGGAGATGACCCTGTGGGATCCATGAATTTAAAAAGAAAGAAAGAAAGAAGAAACACAAGAAGCATTAGTCAAAACCTTACGAATACTGCCAGTTTAAAACAATAATGCTCAGTGGTGGGAGAAGCACAAAGAAGCACAAAGAAATCAGCATTTCTTGCTAAAAGAGAAGGAAAGCTCACTTCAGGGAGGTACACAACTAACTTTCCAAGGTTGTTTACTTTTTATTCTTTTTTTTTTTTACTGTTCTCAGTATCGAGGGATTTTCTAACTCTGGTGGTAACAGGAAAAATATAATTAACATGTTTGTAGAAAGCTATAGTTGTCCTCCTGCTCTACTGCCGGGAAAATATCCACTTGGATATAGCTTGAACCTTCCTTATTCTCCTGAAAAGAAGAACGAAAAGAAGGACTAGGGGTGACATGACAGCTGTTTTCTAGTATCTCAGGGGCTGCCGCAAAGAAGAGAAGGACAACCTATTTTCCAAAGCACCAGAGGGCAGGACAAGAAGCAACAGATGGAAACTAATGGAAAGGAGAAAACCAATGTAGAAATAAGGAGAAATTTCTTGACAGCAAGAACAATTAATCAGTGGAACTGGTTGCCTTCGGAAGTTGTGGGTGCTCCGATACTGGAGGTTTTCAAGAAGAGATTGGGCATCCATTTGTCTAAAATGGCATAGGGTCTTCTCCTGCTTGAGCAGGGGGTTGGACTAGAAGATCTCCAAGGTACCTTCCAACTCTGTTATTCTGTTATCCCTACCCAAAGCCTTATGTTCTTCAGGGCAAGTTATCTGCAGAAGCACCAATTGCATTCATGTTCAAGGTTTCCATCGGGCGCTTTAGACAAGTTCTGCTACAGGTGGATTTAACCTAAAGTCGATGTTGCTTTTTTTGTGGCAGGGGCTATTTTGAAAAACAAGATGCCTCTGAAGTTCGGACACGCTGCTCTCTTCTTTCAGATTTTAGTCTAGTGCTGAGCTCAAAACAGCCCCAATTCTCAGATCTTTCAGTCAATCAGCTGGAAGGGACCTTGGAGGTCTTCTAGCCCAACCCCTGCTCAAGCAGGAGACCCTCTACCATTTTAAAAACCTCCAGTGATGAAGCCCCCACAACTTCTGAAGGCAAGCCGTTCCACTGGTTAATTGTCCTGACTGTCAGGTAGTTTCTCCTTAATTCCAGGTTGCTTCTCTCCTTGATTACTTTCCATCCATTGTTTCTTGTCCTGCCCTCTGGTGCTTTGGAAAATAATTTTGCAGCTGCTCCTGAGGGACGTTGTGCCAACTGACGAAAGCAGAGAATTGCGCCTGAAGGCTTTAATAAAAAGGATGTGATAGATCACTGAGTGGTACAACTGCTACCTGATTGGGAAAAAAAAGGGGGGGGGAATGGTCAAGGGAAGTAGGGAAAAACTTACACCCAGGCTCTGATGGAGCTTTATCTGCTGGCCAACTAGCTGCAATTTGACTGCTTAAAATTCTTTTGGGTTCATTTTGTGCTGCTGCATAGGAGCCCAAGATTAAATGCATCCATGAGGAAGTCTGTCAAAGACCTTCTTTTTTTTATAAAGCACTAAAAATTTCACATGAACTTCAAAGAAATACTGATCCTCTTATTTTAAATAGTTTCATTTCCTTTGGAAGGAAACTGTCTATTTATAGCGGGGAAACAGCAGGACCAAATATCCAAATGACAATAAGACCACAGAGCCAATCCTGGCTGAAATTATAAGCAAGTTGCCTTCCCTTCCAAATACCAAATCTCCATCAGAGACCTGCTTTGGTTAAAAAAAGGAATTGTGCTGTTTGCAGATGAAGGGAACTCTTCAAGAACAGCCAGAAAAGGCAAGTTCTTTTATCTATGTGTCCCTTTGCAACCCATAAACACATAAGTTCCATGTACAGAAGCTGAACCACCTGCAATTTAAAACATGAAATATTAAATGGGAAAACATAACCCAAAAAAATGTACTAAATAGGAATTGCTGTGGAACAGCAGCGGAAAAGAGCCTGCCCAGATTGCTGGATGCAAGGTAGGGAGCAAATAAGTTTCATAAATAAATAATAAACAAAAGAGTCATCGTTGTATCTTTATATGCCGGACTTTCCAGATGCGTCTAGTTGGTTACTGGTTGTCTTGCCAGCTGCTGCATCACTATGGGACACAGAAAGCCAAAATAGGTGACTCTTTTCCCTTGGTTTCACCTGATATATCATTAATGTTCTTAGATCTTTTTCCTTTTATCTCTCCACCCAAGAAAGCTCTGGAAAACTTCTCTGTCTGCTTGGTATAGATATGGAACAGAAGCATGATTGAAGTAATCAAGAAGGGATCTTGCCCAGACTTTGAAGGGGAACGGATTAAAAACAGGTCCTGGGCTGTGACAAAAGGTCTAGTTTGAGTTTTGTCGGTTCTCTTGAGCAGATAGAAAAGGTCTAAATCAAGTAATTTTCAAAAGGAGTCCTTCATATGTACAAGTGGAGATGTGGAAGAATGATACTGCCTTGAATTTTAAGACAAGCTAACCTTGTTTGCAACCGATCCAGAGCTTTTGGGTTATGGACCCCAATTCCAGTTTTTCCATGCCTTACCAGGAAGATCCTTTAAGAACAGCTGAAGTGCCACACTTCGTGTTTAAACTTCCTGTCTTCTGTATCTTTTGGGGTCAAAGTGTTAACTTTACTTAAACTTTTTAAAGAAAAGAATTTAATGCCAATGTTTATAAACTGGGCTTATATACACAAATTTAACCATATACACATGGAAGAAATTCAGCCAACAGATGTCAAAAAATTCTTCAGAAAGCACTTTGGAAAAAATGAAGGCAAATGGATTGCTAGGTCAATCCATCAAGACTGCATCCTGCCCGGGATGGGACAATGAAAAGCAATGATCGGCATGCAAATTCATGCGTGCATATACAATGACTGCAGAGCCTAATTTCAATGATATATTTTTACATGCACACACACACAGATCAAGGACCACACCAGAAAACTGATTTTTCCAAAACACATGTGGACATGCCTTAATTACATAAACCTTAGGAAATCGTATTTTGGGAACAAAGGAAAAACTAAGTTTAAACTGTGTGAGCCTAAAGCAGTTGTAGAGCACAGAAGAGATGGTCAAGAATGAATACTTACTACTTGAACTTGGCCGTCCTCTCCTATCTGGTGAATCTGGACTTGCTGGGCATTGGCCAAAGCATAATGAAGCGCCTGTGGTTGGTTGGCCTGAATTTCATTTGGGGCCGACACTGTGCTTTGCGTGCTCTCTGGAAAACAAAGAAAAGTTCACAGGGTTTATCACAAATCTCCCCACCTCTGATAACGCCCAGTGTCCAGATTAGATTTCTGCAACTTGAAGATTCTGAGAGGAGAAGTCTGCCCAGGTCTGGAGAACAGTAGGCTGGAGAAGCATAGGAAGTCATGTCATAACCACTGCTGTGAAACAGAAGTGATCCATCTTTTATTATAAAAAATTAATGTGAACCTTACTTAGGTTACTTAATTATTAAATGATAATCTGCATTATTATTGAAATCCAGTAATAACATTGGGAACATCTTTTAGAAGGGAAGGTGTGTTTGTATCTGTGTGAGAGAAAGAGATGCACACGTACCTTGTAACTCCATGGCAGGAGCTAATTTTTTTCCCCCAGCTTTGTTTTATTAACCTAAAAATGGTTCCAGATTAATTAGCAAAGTTTCCAGCTGGGAAAGTGGGACTTTCCCCCTTGGCCCTAACCTTCCTTCTCAGTTCACTGATTACCTTGAATCCATCCAATTGTGACTTCATTTTTCCAATGTGCTGTTCAAATGTTTTCTAGAAATTAACAGTTAATCTGGAGGTCCAAATCTATAATTCTGAATATTATTTCTCTCCCCTCGTTCTGCAACCGAGGGCCAAACTCACAAACACAACTGAATGAAGGGCGTCAAGAAAGTGACTAATTCTTCAAAGTACTATCATTTTTGAAAAATCCATTTATTTGAATAGCTAGATAAGGAAAAGAGGAAAAAGAAGGCAAGGCTTAATAAGACCTCATTTGCCAAGCATGGGCTACTTAAAGTGGTCTATTGTAACATATAATTCTCTCATTTTGTTTCAAATATGTCTCTGGTCCTCCTAGATTTTCAAAACCTTGATATTCCATATAAGAATAAGCTTTGAGATTTCATCCACACATCTCTGGGTCTGATTCTTACTATTTCTTCTTATTTTGATGCTTGTGGACAAGACAGGGTGGTTATGAATCAAAGCAATAAAAAAAGAAATTGCTTTAAATATCCAGCAAACATCTCCTTCCTCAGGTTCACGCTACATACGCTCACAAGCTTAGGATCCCTCTTCAATTAGAAAAATGGTCCCTACTGACCAAACCAATCCCAGGATGGATGCTTTTGAGTAATGTCATTGGAGCAACTTTGCATGATGTTTGTAACCAAACAATACAAACCCTTATTTGTCACTGGCCAGCTGTTTCCTTACAGCTGGCCAGATGTTAAAAAGCTATTTTTATATCTGCCAAGTTAACCGAGAGATGCTGAATACCACAAGCATAACACTCACACAAATGTCATGCATCCAACAACGACATCTCTTGAGAAGCAAGTTTGCTTATAAACAGAATTTTTCAGCATCTGGCTGCGGTGTCATGACCTCTGATAGGAAGGGGAAGAAAAGGATTTAGTAAGATCTAAATCCCCAAATCACCATTCTCATTCAGAGATAACCGCCAGATGCAATACCACCTTTAAAAAAAAAAAAAAAAAAGAGCTGTTCATGCATTATTTTAGTAGAAACAGAAGAGAGAGAGAAGGATACACCCAGAGATGTAGATTGTCCAACAATCTAACCTTCCCTTTTTAAAAATATTATTAATAATAATGTTCAGGTGTTAAGAGAATTCACAACTCATATGAGGACCATGAGCTGATCATGGGTTAAAAGTTATTCTGTAGGAAACTTAGGTTTGATCATGTCCAAAAAATTCAGCATTTAATAATTTTGATAATTTGTAGCCTCATTCCTTCATTCCTTCTGGGTAGGTACTGGATATTCAGAATAATCAAACAATTGCTCAGTACACTGTGGTTCTAAAATGAGGGAACAACTAAATGGAGAAGGAAATCTCTCCTTAATTCTAGGTTGTTGGAGTTATTGAATTATCTGGCCTGTTAGGCTGAGTCATCAGCTGCAGTAGGCCAAGGTATGAGGAAGTCGGAAGTAAAAAAGATTGGAGTAAACAACGTGCCGTGCGGTGCAAAGGAATGTGTTTTGGTGTTTTGTTTAGTAGCGTGTGCAAAACAAAGTTGTAGCAGGTGTAATATGCTAATATGCTGTGTTATAACAAATGTGGTTGGTGTAAGGTGGTCACCAGGTGCATATAAACCCGCCTTCTGATAACACAATAAAAGGGATGCTTCGGCTTTGTGCGAGGCTCCCATCCCGAGGAAGCCACGTGTTCGTGTCTGTTCTTCTACACCCATGGGAGACCGCTGGGCGCGTGAAAACCCACATAGGTTGGGCCTCGATCTGACAAGCTTTCACCCATTACTTCTCGTCTTACCCTCTGGTGCTTTGGATATTAGGTTGACCCTCTCTTCTCTGGGACAGCTCTAAAGTACTGGAAGACTGCTACCATGGTTCCCCTAGTTCTTCTCTTTGATAAGACTAGACACCTCTAGTCTTTCATTCATCGCATGGTTTAGTCTCTGATCCCCTAATCCTCTTTGGTTGCCCTTCTCTGCACTCTTCCTGGGGTCCCAGCGTCATGCATCAAACAAAATATCCGGCAGGGGCAAACTTGAGGCCACTCTTTATCGAGTTATCTTCCTCTCTCCATGTGTTCAATTTTTATTGGAGACATTGGAGGCTGAAGAACTGAACTTCAGCTGCTAGAAGAGAAACAGGGAGGGGAGCAGGCTGTGGAGAAAGTTTGGAATGTTTAAAATAAGACAGGAAAAAGATAGAAAAGATAGCAGACTCAGTGGTCTGAGACCCGATTCTGACTGCTCGAAAGGGCATCTGGGAAACCAGCGCCAGTCCCCCCCCCCCCATGCCAGCTCCTTGCCACCCTCATCTGGGAAACCATGAGACCAAGATGCACGGAGAGGCCGAAGCGACAGCAGGCTAGTTGATTCCTTCAAGCACAGAGTGCAGCCTTTTTTACAACTGCCCAGGGAGCCAAAAGAAATGTGGGGAAACTTTCATTAGCTACCGCAAGAAACTGGTACATCTTGTGACAGTTGTAAAGCCGCTCAGCCAATTAAGCACAGAGCAGCCTTAATTAGTGTCTGGGCGTTGTGGGAGGAAGAAGTGCTAGGCTGCATTAACAGAGGGATAGAATCAAGATCACGTGAAGTATTAATACCACTCTTTAATGCCTTGGTAAGGCCACACTTGGAATACTGCATCCAGTTTTGGTCACCACGATGTAAAAAAGATGTTGAGACTCTAGAAAGAGTACAGAGAAGAGCAACAAAGATGATTAGGGGACTGGAGGCTAAAACATATAAGGAACGGTTGCTAGAATTGGGTATGTCTAGTTTAACGAAGAGAAGGACAAGGGGGGACATGATAGCAGTATTCCAATATCTCAGGGGCTGCCATAAAGAAGAGGGAATCAAGCTATTTTCCAAAGCACCTGAAGGCAGGACAAGAAGCAATGGGTGGAAACTAATCAAGGAGAGAGAAACCTAGAACTACGGAGAAACTTCCTGACAGTGAGAACAATTAATCAGTGGAACAGCTTGCCTCCAGAAGCAGTAAATGCTCCAACACTGGAAGTTTTTAAGAAGAGAACTGGACAGCCATTTGTCCGAAATGGTTGTTAGGGTTTCCTGCCGAGCAGGGGGTTGGAATAGATGACCTCCAAGGTCCCTTCCAACATTATTATTATTATTATCAATCATCGCACAGTCAGCCAGATGTTCAGACTGGATTTGGCATTTTGTCTACCTATCGAGCCTTACCCAGGACCTGGGATAGGCAGATGTGGATGTTTGATGGTATTACAGGTATCGTCGCAGGATGGAAGCAGTTCCTAATAAGGCTGCCTTTTGCAATTGACTAATAGCAAATTTGTCAATGCCAATGGTGTTCAAGTGGTGCTCCAGTTGTTTTGGGATTGCGCCCAAGGAGCCTATGACTATTGGTACTACCCTTGCTTGCTTTTGCCCCAGTCTTTCTAGTTCTATTTGTAGGTCTTTGTATTTTGTTATCTTCTCCAGTTCTTTCTTGTCTATTCTGCTGTCTCCAGGCACTGCCACGTCCACTATCCAGACTTTTTTGTCTTTCTTATCGACAATTGTTAAGTCTGGGGTGTTATGTTGCAGGTGCGTGTCTGTTTGAATTTTGAAGTCCCAGAGCAGTTTAATTTTATCATTTTCTATGACTTTCTCTATTTTATGATCCCACCAGTTTTTGCTTACAGGCAAATGATATTTTTTGCAGATCTTCCAATGCACCATTGTTGTTACTTTGTCATGTCGCTGCTTGTAATCAGTCTGTGCAATCTTCTTGCAACAGCTTACCAAGTGGTCCACTGTTTCTTCAGCTTCTTTGCATAGGCGGCACTTACTGTCTGTTGCTGTCTTCTCACTTTTGACTTTGTATGCATTTGTCCTTAAAGCTTGGTCTTGTGCAGCCAGAATTAATCCTTCGGTTTCTTTCTTCAATTTTCCTGCTCTTAGCCATTGCCAGGTTTTATTATTATCTGCTTTCCCAGCTATTTTTTTAATGTATTGGCATGTAGGCTTTGTCTTCATGCCTCTATTCTGTTCTTTCATTTGGTCTTTCTTGTAGGCCAGTTTGGTCTCTCAGAGTTAGGTAAGCCTTCTGATATACTAATTACAGTGCATCTTCATCATTGTTTTTCAGATATTCTTCAAAGCCATTTTTTCTTCTTCAACCATCTGATGTACTTGTAGCATTCCACGCCCACCTATTTGCCTTGGTAGATAAAGTCTATCAATGTCACTGCGTGGATGAAGGGCATGATTCATTGTCATTATTTTTATGGTCTGCCTATCCATTGCTTTTAGTTCTGCTTGAGTCCAGTCCACTATTCCAGCTGTGTACCTAATGACTGGGATTGCCCAGGTGTTGATTGCCTTTATGGTATTTCCTCCATTGAGGTTGGATTTTAAGATCTTCTTCACTCTCTTGATGTATTCACCTCTAATCTTTTCTTGACTTCAGTGTGCTTGATGTTGTCAGCTTGAAGGATACCCAAGTATTTGTAGTACTCTTCCTCATCCAGACTCTTAATGTTATTTTCGTGGGGCATCTTGATTCCTTCAGTTTTCACTATTTTTCCTTGTTTGATAGTAAGTGTGGCACATTTGTCCAAGCCAAACTCCATACAATATCTTGGCTATATATACGGACAGTGTTGAGCAGCGATTCTATTTCAGATGATGTTTTTCCATACAGCTTCAGATCATCCATATAAAGGAGGTGGGATAGTCTAGCAGATGTGTTTGATGTTTGATAACCATGTCCTGAGTTATTTTCAGTATTGTTGACAGAGGAAACAGTGCAATAACAAATAGTAATGGTGATAATGAATCTCCTTGAAATATTGCTTCTTGATATTAACCTCTCCCAGTCTCTCACCATTGATCTGCAA